ATAAATTATATATACAGTATAAATAATAATAATAATAATAATTATGAATACATTTTTAATCACAAAGGGGGGAAATTCAAGTTTACACTCTGTAATTGAAAAACATGCTACTCACACACATAGGCCTGAAATCCACACAAGAGCAAATGTGCCGATGAAGCAGGAAACAACTTGCCTTCTGTCACTTCTTCTTCTTTGCCTAACAAAGCCTGAAATAAAGTGAGTAGGGGTGGCAGCAGCTCAGTCTGTAGGGACTCGGGTTGGGAACTGAAGGGTTGTACGTTCAAGTCCTGATGCAGACCATATCTGGAAATAAGTCTTGTAGCTGGAGGGTGCAGGTTCACTGCACTTCCTGATCACTGCTGAGGTTCCCTTGAGCAAGGCACTGAAACTCCACTCCACCAGCTCAGGAGCACTTGTAGCGCTCCGTCACTCTGACATCTCTCCATTAAGTCCATGTCCATAGGATCCTGTTTGTGCATGTGTGTGTAGCATGTTCAACAACAGAATGTCAAATTGAATTTCCACTTGCAGGATTTAATAAAGGATATCTTAAAGACACTTCTGCCTCTGTCTAAACAAGTGTGTGTGTTGATTTGTCTATGCTCATTACCACTCCTATCTCCCTTACTATAAAACCTCACTAAGCAATATATCCCACCTGCTCTTTGTGTTGTTGCTGTGTGAATTGAATTTGTTTTAAGTAATTGAGTCAGTGGACCAACCTGTGGACTCCATGCTGGGTGACCAACAGGCTCCATACTGTGTCAGCTTGTAAGAAGGAGCTAATCGTACTTCTCTCTTTTAGAGCTGCATTGTTTAAGTACTCCCATAATAACACAGAGAACTTATACTTTCACTTTATCTGCCCAAATGAAATTCTGGTTTAAGAATCGGTCACTTTTCCACCCACAGAAAATCACAAATCAATATCCCAGTGAGTGAAGACTGCAGAGAAATCTGGACTCACCCAACTCTTAACTTAATCTTGTCACTCTCCTCTTGGTACAAAAAAAAGTCTCAAACTATTTGATGTGAACTGATTATTTAAGCCAACATCATCTCTTTGCATTGTAGTTCATTTTGTTCTTAAACAGTCTTCTGATCCTGCACAGCATACCTTTAAAGGTAAATCTATTCCTTCTCCCCTTTAACTTACTGCGCAAAGACTGTTTTAAAACCTGCACGTAGTCTCAGTGATGTCACCCGTTCGTTTCTGAAGATTGTTTCATGAAGGCAAAGATGACAGCCGTCATATTGGAAATGATGACTCCAAATTACTTTTTGATTAATCTAGAAACAGACAAAGGTGAAGCTGAGGCAGGCCGAATGAGTCTTGGTTGGTAAAAGCAGCTACGCCCCCAATTATAACTAGTTATGCACAACTCTTTGCCTCAATAGAATCTGTACAAGCTAACCACTTGTCCACTGGCACCCCACATTGGGTCTGTTTAATAACCAGATAAATGCTCATTATAGTCAGTTGTTATAAAAGAAAAGTCCAGGTCTTGCTTTCTGTTGAAACTGACATTTCCCTGAAATTACAAATCTTTTTTGTTATATTTAAGGGAAATGTCTGTATTATAAATCCATAAACATCTGTTTTTAGCTCAGAGTTGGTTGTCTTCTCATCGAAAGATGAGCTGTACATTCCTCCAGTCCACATGTTGAAGAGTCCTTGAGTTAAATACTTAATACTTAATACTTAACTCAATACGGTGTGAGAATGAATGTTGTTATTAGAGCACTTTTTTCCCAACATACTTCAACAAGAATCCAAAGCAAAGGTAGGAGAGACATATTTGATTATCATAGGGGACATAGCTCAGGGTAGGTCAATTGTTGATGTGCATGTCTTTGTTTTTCAGTTCATTTGCGCTCACTGCTCAGAGTTAAGAGTCAGACGTGCTCGGGGGCTCTGACACACTCTGACACACTCTGACATATCCAATGTTGCTGTTTGTAATTGACATCTAACAGCTTGACGTGGTGACTATGAGTGAAAGCTGCTGCCATGATGATATAATGAAAGAAAGTGAGACTGGCTATGATAACGAACTGACTCGTTTTGTCAGTTTGATCTTTAGCTAGCCCCCCCACTAGCAACATCATCTGCTATATTATAGGCTTGTGAATCAAAGTTTAAGCTTTATGCATTTCTTATTAAATAACTACAAATGTCAAACAGTATTCCAGAGCAATATGAAAAATATTCTTACAGCCTCCAAGCTGATACTCTAACAATCTGTGAATAACAGTTTATCACACAGACTTCATAATTACACCTGATACATTGTCAGCTGCTGTTTCACCAGGAAAACATTTGTATTTATGTTTTATTTTTAAAATGTTGCTGAAATATTTACCATAGCACTGGGAATTATTCACGCTGAGAGGTGCATGGAGATAATGGGCTGTATGCATTAGCAGGGTTATGGTTTTGTTTCTAGTACAAAACCATTATTTACTGTTTAGTGGGAGGCTTTAATAGAGGAAATACTTTTATGGATCACCTGTGTAGTTGTGTGGCTTGATTTATTTTTGCATACCAGCACTTACTTTCTGCACTCGGCATCACTGTGCTTCAGGAGAATGTTGCTTTACTGCTTGACTCTACTACCATGCTCTGCAGGCTATCATACATTGTTTACTATATTTATATATACTTAACTCAGATCATTTATTTACTACTGAGTGACAGCTGTAAAACTACTCTACTATATACCATTTTACCACAATGGCTCGGTCATCACAATGGACCCGTGTTCTGAAAACATCTTGTCATGTCTGGAGAATATGAGATAATATTTCCAGCATCTCCTGATTTGTGTGGGGTAAATAACTGTCTTTATCAATGGAGTCTGGTTGGCTCTGAAGAGAGCTATGTCATCAGGTTAACCCTGCTGAAGGCCACAATCCCAAATGCGTCGGTCTAATTTGTTACTAAAGTTGATCTTCATACTTGTTTCTGGAGCATTTTGACCTCTTTAAGCCTTTTGTTCTTCATGTACCTTGTTAGTTGGTGGAGTTTTGCCAGAAAATCCCACTCTGCTTCTAAGAGAGAGATATGTAGCCAACAACTCTTTCTGGTTTAAAAATATATTTAACCATAACAAAAAGGTTTACACCTGTAGTGATTCTAATCAGTTCTTTGACAAATTGAATTACAAGCTGAAACTTTCTGTGTCAAAAAAACATGCACTTTAAATGGATGTACCTTAATAAATAAAAGGTCACATATTATGCAAAATACACTTTATAATGTTCATGAACAGCTTATATTTTTCCCTAGCATGTCTGCAAACCCCCCAAATATGAGAAAAGTCCATCCTCTCTGTCTTCTTCCTGCTCCACTTTTCAGAAAATGTGTGCTCAAACAGGCGAGGCTGGAGATTTTCCCTTCATGACATCACAAAGAGCAGTAGCCCCTCCCCCAGGTGGGTGACACTCCCACAGCTAGGTGTTTGTTCTGCCCTCTGAGTCTGCCTTCTCACTGTAAACAATAGGACATGGAGAGAGAAAGACCGAGTACACCCAAGCCCTTCCAGAGAGGAGGCGTGGTCAGACACAGCTCATTTACATATTTAAAGCTACAGACACAGAAACAGCCTGTTCTGAGCAGGGCTGAAATAGAGGGGTTTATAGGCATAATCAAATACAGGATCAGAGTGGATTTAGAACAAGTAACTTCACACACATGTTTTGAGGAGCTCTGAGACTTTTTTACACTTGTTGAAAAGGAGAATAATATGTGACCTTTAAGTTTCAGCCTCGACAGCCAATCTAAAGGCTCAAGGCTGAAGCAATGTGCTGGAGAAAATCCAAAACTCTTTGTACCCATAATCATAAGGAATGAAAATATGTAAAAATGTGGCCCGGGCTTAAAAATTATGGAAAACCCCTGTAAGGAAGATCTGCTAAAGCGAGGTTTGTTTGTGTGTACTTTAAGTTTACTTCTTCAGGTGCTGACAGGAAGTGACCAGAGGCAAAGCACAACATTGAGGGAAGTTCTTGAGAGCTCTAATCAGTATAGAAACCATCTTATAAGTCATTGTTATCAAACAAAAACCATCGTCATTACCATCACGCATCATCAACAATATGGAGACCATCATCATTAAGTTAGTAGGTATTCATGAAAGAGCTGGGTCTTTAGCTTTTTCTTAAAGGTGCAGAGGGATCGAATGGAGTTTGGAAGTTAGTTCCTCAACTTTGGGCTGTCCAGGTCCATTTTACCCCTGTGCCTGCTTGGATGCAGACACATCCAGATTTTGTTCAACCAATCAGATAAGCTGTAGGAGAAAGCTTTAAAGTATCTATTAAAGCGTCATCATCTCATAATTCAAACCCTTATCTTTGCTCTCACTATGTCTTCTCTGTCCAGTGGATTCTATTTGACTCTACTGTCATAAGTCCTCTATGCTGGTTAGTGTGCCGTGATCCGGTTCTTATCACAGTCTTTATTACACCCTGATAACATCCTCCTCCTCGGTTATTGTGCCATGAGAGAGGCCATTAGTTTGGCTGGGTGCACACAATGCAGCATTGGGACGGACCTCCACCCAATTAGGTTGACCTGTACCCACAAAGAAGATCTGGAGGGGGGGGAAATGGTTTTCTCACGGAGCAGCTTTACATTTTGAGAGAGGTCACAATATGTCTTTCTAATTAGTAGAAGATATGTGGTATTGTGGACAAATCTAAGAGGCTGGTTATAAAGTCAAGGTCTCAGGAGAAGCTCAGCAGATGTAACAATGAACCAAATTTTTGCATTTTATTTGAAGAAGGGGCCTCAAATCTTGTTTTTCTTCATCTTATTTTCAAAAGGTAACATTTTTTTTTTTTGTGACATTTCTTTTAAAATAAAACTACCATTACTATTTATTTTCTGTTTCTATTTTTCCCGTCATCAGTACTGTCACAGCGTACATCTCTATGTCAGAGTGTGTCCTGTATGAAGGTCTTTGTCTCACCAGTCTAAATGTTTGTTTTGCAGAGTTTTGCAGAGAACACCATGAATGAGCTGCTGGGCTGGTATGGTTACGACAAGGTGGAGCTGAGAGACTCTGACAACCTGGACATAGGGGAGACTCCACAGCACATCTCTGTCCTTAAAGGTATGAAACACTAACATGCAATACAGCATTTGTTCTTTTTTTTCTTGCATGAATGCATGCATTTTGGGCCCTGCTCACCTGGCAGTCACATTTACCAGCTGCTTCTTTATCCTCCATGATGTGCTGCATAGAGATATATGAGTGAAACTATGATATGATATTGTAATGAAACATGCCTTATGTTTGCTGTATGTCTGTTAAACATGACTTTGATGCTTTTAGTAAACGTTTCTAATAAAAACTTTTAATTTTTTGAAAGTTACACTGAAGAGTTTCTTCAACTTTGTTTATATCGCTGGTTTAAAGTGAGCAGGCCACATGCTTATATCCATCAATCATAGCAACTTCATATTTGTTGTAAAAATTGTCATGTAAATATTGGCTCTGATAGGGATATTTTGTCCTCTGGAGCCAGCCTCGAGTGGACACTTGAGGAACTGCACTTTTTTTGCACTTGTACATTGGATTAATTTTTCATCACCAGAGGTTGCAGCTCGTTGAAACTCACCTTTGATGGTCATTCATGATAAAGTTAGACCAGGACCAAAAAAATGATTGGAACAACTGAAAAGGATTTCCAGCCCATAATTGATCCATTCATTTTATAGCCTTTGCTTTTTTTTTTATTCTCTTTTGTTTTTGTGGGCTGTTCTTTATTTCTCAAAATCAAACATGTCTGATAGTTGAGGGCAAATCTGGACTAAATCTGGGCCTACAATTGCCTTGTGTGTAGCCTTCCTTAGTCACTAAACCTTGGGTGCTTTAAGTATAAACGTCTCCTACCTAAGCTTAAAGAACGTACTTCATCACTTGGGCCTCCAGAGTGGTAAAAAGTCATTCCTTATTTGAGATTTTAAGCAGGATAGGCTTTAACATCTCATTGTTATAGTAGGTGTCAGTGCCTCTAATGGATTTTATTCCCCTCAATTTAATCTTTTTAGAAAACTTGTTGCCAAAAATCACAGCCTCAACAGAGAGCAGTGAAGGCTCTCCAGACCGAGCCAACAATTCCCTATCTTTGCCAGCCTCCAGAAACGGAGTCACAGAGCCCTCCACAACACCGTCCACCTCAACGCCCGGCAACAGGGAACATGGCAGCCTGCCCATCATTGTCCCCATGATACCCCCGCCTCTGATCAAGCCTCCTGCAGGTAGGAAGCATGCCCCGACACCTTTTTTGAAAGACACATACAGAAGAAGAATTTAAAAGCATTATAAACAAAAGTATCAAAATGTAGTCAAGTGGGCGCCTCCTCAAGCTGTTTCATGAAGTTTAAACTGTTTATGTTTAACCTTTTGTGTTTTGAAAAAGGCTACATTTTAATAACCATAAAGATCAAGGTCATTTTCAGCACATTGCAGACTTCTGATTACATTCCCCCAAACACCCTCCTCCACCTAGAAGGAGCTGGCATAGATTTAATCCACAGATGTTCTGCAGACACATTACATTGTCATGAAAGTATAAAAACCTGCAAGCCTATTCTCCACCACTTAACAGGAAATTGGATGTTTATGCAACGTGTAAACTTGCTGTCTTTGCCTCCAAAGAAGGCAGGGACAGGCGACTAATGAGCTAGCTACCTGCTGTACACCTTGTTTTCCTCCACCTGCCCAAGTGTCAATATAACCCCATCAACTCTCTGAGGGAAAACAGTCCCCGTTCCTCGGCCAGACAGAGGGCTTCATTATCCCTCATGTCTGCTGTGGCACAGGAGGTTGGTCCGCCCCGGTGGAGGGAGCGAGCCGCCTTGGCATCGCCCAAGAGGAGTCCCTGCTGGCCCTGCCTAGGCGGGGAAACAGATGGTGTGGTCCAACTTAAAGCTCAGCACCAACACACCACCCGGTCAACACCCCCTTAGACCCCCCCCCCCCTCAAACCCTCACACATATGCTGAATTATTCATGTGCCCCACAGAATCCGACAAAGGACCTTTTGAGTTGCAGGTACAGTGGATGATGGTGGCATTTAGCATGGAAGTTGCATAATTACTGACAGATTTCCCCCCCCTCATGCAGATGTGACTTCTTTGAGATGGGCTTGTTAAAATGAAGACAAGGCACAAAAACAATTCTACTGCAAGATGTCTCTTTGTATGAAAATGTTAAGATATTGTGGAAGGTGTTGCTTTTCTTCCATCCTGGTCATTACTCTGTGGTACACAAATTATTCCCAGCCCTGAGCCACCACCACCACCCCCCCCCCCCCCACCCCCCTCACCCCACCCCCACCTGGTCAGCTCAGAATCAAATTTTGTCTTTTTTTTTGGCCAGCAATCCAGACAGACTCAAAAAGGCAGAAAGCCTATAAGACTGAGAAAGACATCAAATATATGCATGTCGGTTCCAGTGTGCTATCTTTAGGACCCAGGGGAGTTGTTCCCTTAATTGAGGGAAGTCTTTGCTTAAAATCTGATGACCCTGAAGATCCATTAAGCTCAACAAGAGGTGAAAAGCCCGGCCAGCGTGCGCTAAGGAGGTGAAAGACTAATGGGCCTGCGTTTTTTTTTTTTCGCCCTCACACCCGCACAGTCATAATGTGATAATTGGGAGATACAGGAGGGAATCTCGGAGGATCTCTCTCATTGCAACAGCGACGGTACTAAAAGCCCCGCAGCTCATCACCAGCAGCCACAGTTTAGCAACAGAGGAGGCATTTCACCACAACCCCAGCATTGTCTAAAAGAAAGGTCGACATCAGGAATGTTTGCAGCCATTAACAGATTACAATGTTCAACTAGATTTTAGGATAATGGGAATTTAGTTTCAAAAAGAGACGTTTATTTCAGAGATGTATAAGGGGATAAAGATGCTGATGTAATCTTAGGGCCTGTAAAGTAAAATAATTTTTCAAATGCCTTCTCTTTGTATTTGTCGGGATTTCTTGAGGCCAACCTACCACACAGGTCGGGTAATATCAAGCAGCTTGAACAAAAACATAATGCTCTGTACTGAAAAATGAATAATCTCTATTAACAACAGTGATGACTGATATCAGTAATATAGTTTCAGAGGGGATTCAGAGGTTTTCTAGCCCATATATCCTACTGCAGACTTAAGAACTAACATTTTCTTTGCACATATTGCTGCAAGAATAACACACACATAATGAATGCAGTCACATTTCAAGTCAAAGTATCAACCAGCACAGCCACAGGTTAACACCCTTCTATGGCCCTACTTCACCTGTTTCTACTACATTAGCTCATGTGAGCATCGTTATCGATCCTATGGTGGTTTTGTGGCAGAATTGACTTAGATAGGAAATTCTAAAAAAACAGAGCTGGCAGTGATTCTGTGTTCTTTGTAGCACCTATGCATGAATGTCTAAGCAAATGGTCCAATGGTTTAAAAAGAGATTTTTCACCATTTTTCACATGGCGGCCAATTTCCAGCGACTTGTTCTCAGAAGGGATAGTTTTAATGCAGTTGAAAAGATGTTCAGTTTTGCTGTGTTCCTGGTTGAAAGTGATATAAACATATCTGACAATCATTCATATTTTACTCCTGACAAACAATAGAAAGTAAAAAAATCTGCAGGGACAGCGGCCATATAAAAGTGTAAAACAATATATTTGAAAACTTTTTGACAACAGACAACTGCTACTGTTAGCATTCAACACTAGATCAGCTTACATTTGATAGTATTCCACTATAGAATAATAAAAGGTGCTAATTCCTTAGTAACAGTAATGTTAAATTGTAGCTATGATTTGGTTAAATGGTAAACCATTGCCGTCATGCTAAGGAGTTTTTTTGGTATGTTTTTTTAAACTTGAAATATGTCCTATTGTCCCTTGATAAGTTTCAGTTTCTTAGTTTTTAACTGTCTGATTTCATACATTATTGTTAAACCTGGAATACAGCAGTCCAACATTTTCACAGCTTCACACTCTGACTGATCAGAGGAAGATTAACGTGCATCGTGTGATTCTGGTGAATGAAGAAAGATTAATAGTTTAACCTTATCATAGTATAAGACAAGCCTGGTCTGCATCCTGACTCACTGCCACTGTATATATATATTTTTATCTTTCCAGATGAAGACGCATCTAATGTGCAGATCATGTGTGCCTGGTGCCAGAAGGTCGGCGTCAAACGCTACTCACTGAGCATGGGGAGTGAGCTGAAGAGCTTCTGCAGTGAGAAGTGCTTCGCCGCCTGCCGCAGAGCCTATTTTAAGAGAAACAAGGTAAAAGTGCCCACTTCTCCTCAGCTTGATACTTTGACAAAACATCTCTTAGAGGCTTGGCACATTCAGTATGTCACAAACACCCCGGGAAACTATATGTGAGGATCAATAATGAGTCCCAAAAGAGAAAATATATATATATATATATATATATATATATACACACTTTTTGTACTAATTTCATTTCCCTTTATATGAAGAAGGTAGATTGGTTCTGTGGAGTATTATCACAGGCTACCATAAAGAGTGTTTTTTTGAAACTCAAAACATCAACCCAAAATCCCGTCAACAGGGCGTAGCTTTAGCAAAACTATTTCTTTTGATTCCAAAAAAGGCACACTTTTAGTTTAAGCCAGAGCAAATTAATAATTTATTGTCATTTAAGTAAGAGATCTACACTTTGGTTAGGCTTCAGGGAAATCCTTGTAGCCAACTGAGCATGACGAAATAGCATGTTACAACTGGGACAGAACTCCTTCTCATTGTAGAGTGAGAATAAGGCTACTTGAGATACAGTAGAGCGAGTTTAGATGGCTGCAGATGATGACACTATGCCTGTCAGGTTATATTATTTCCTAATTAAATACACAGTTAACGTCTCTACTGAGCACAGATACAGTTGTCAGTATGTAGACTAAAGGGCAGACTTAGCAGACAGCTCGGTTTATTTCAGGGTGGCTGTTTCTGTTTTCTGTTGTCAACGGCCTGACAGCAAAGAGACCAAACTTAACATTAGCAGAAAATGACTTTCTATCTTCTTAATGTTATAAAGAAAGTAGTCTAGACCTGCCTGGTATAAGACGTCCTTTGTGCTTTGATTTGGCCCTATAAAATGGACTTTATTATGATTCACATCCTAACTAAAATAAGTTTAATAACGGGCCAGTAAGAATTTATAACGCTGTCATTTATCTAATGTGACGCTAGCTAAGATGCTAACATAATTTACACAAATCTCTTCATTACAGTTCTCCATGAACTTAAAGTAAAAGGCAAAGAAAAACTATGTCCAATTAAGAGATGTTCAAATGTGCACTTACTAAATCTTATTATAAATCCAGTCTCAGCTCACTATGTACATGGACATGAATTTCCATTTTCTTCCTGTCAGTCATCCCCCCTTTTGGGAAATGGATTCTTGTGGATGGATTTTTCAATTTTTGTGCAGACAAAGCAAAAGCCTCTTCTTGTCAATCAACACCACATTGCATGCTGGTTGCTTGAGAAACGAAACCTTCAGGGCTTCTGCAGTTAAGATATTTCTCTTTAATAACGTAGAACCACTTTTTGATGTCACTAACTTTTTATTTTAACCCCAAACCCCAAATATGACCTCCTAAACCTGACCAATACTTTTCAGACTCCAAAACCAAAAAGCTGTTTTCACAAATACATGTACCGGTATGTTGCTTGCTGCTCAGTTGATAACGCTGATATTTCCTGACTTTTACCTGCTTTCGCATATCGGCTTAACCCGACTACACACAGGAATTTTACAAGGGGGCTGGCAGGAAATGGTCTGGGTGTAGTTTGGGTGAAAAATTGGGCTTTTAGCGTTCACAAATGCAGCTCGCCCTGGAAACATCAGGAAATGTTCCAGAGTTTTGTGAATGTGTGAACAAAAAAATAGAACCTGTAATTTTCACTTATCCAAGCTGTATTTAACAACAACAATTCAACAGGCTTTGATATGTGCAGAAAACAGTGTGCAAAAGAAAAAGCAGGTGGAACCCGATCAGCACTAATGACATACTAGCTCGCAGCTATGGTATTCTAACACTATTTTATTTGCCTCTATAAAGGTCTTGGGTGAAAGTCGTCTAATACTGCTGCTGGCTTCACCGGAATTACGGAGAAACTTGCATCCAAAAATTGTCTATCAGCAAAAATAGACCATGTTTGCTGATGGGTTCCAAGATTGTAGTACAGAAGATTATAGTTTGGGTTGAAATTCAGTCCATTAAGTGGACTTTAGAAGAATAAACATGTTGCGTACATGACGAATACTTAAATCTGTTGAGATAATGCAAATTTAGTTTTTGGTATTATGCATGATTTCAACTCCAGTGTCCTCGGTGTAAATCCTCCATTTGGTCCTCACTCCTTTAAAAATCATGCTAGGCTAACGGTGGTTAGCGCTGTCCCCTCTCTGTGTGGAGGTTCCTGGTTTGAATCCCCGTCTGACAGGAGCCTCTCTGTGTGGAGTCTGCATGTTCTCCCTGTACATGTGTGGGTTCTCTTTGGGTACTTAGGGTCCCTCCCACAGTCCAAAGACATGCTCGTTAGGTCAATTGGTGACTCTAAATTGCCTGTAGGTGTGAATGTGAGTGTGCCTGGTTGTCAGCCCTGTGATTGACTGCCCAACAGTCCAGGGTGTACCCCGCCTCTCGCCCAACGACAGCTGGGATCGGCTCCTGCCACTTCGTGACCCTCGAACGACAAAAAAGCAGTAAAAGAACGGGTGGATGGATGGAAAATCCATGCTGACTGACGATGAATAAAAGGGAAATTCATGTCCATGTTAATAAATACTTAAAGTTTAGACTATTCCATGAAATCCTCTGAGACTTTGGTCTGTATTATTTTCGAGTGCAGACAGTCGCTAATATGGCTACCAGAGTCTGGTGCTCTTATAAGCTCTTAATAAAAACACATTATTGTCTGCGTCTGACAGAGCTACATTTTCATGACATTTTGATAATCTTTATAAAGTGAGCCGGAGTTCTTCTTTTATCAGTTGTAGCTTCAGCAATTATTATGACTCAAGACATCTAAAAAGTCAAACAACTAAAACTCTCTTTTTTTAAATGTCAAGTTAAAAACCCTCTCATTACTTTTTCACTTTTGGCTTGAATACAAAATGCATAATACATGATAAATTCAACTATTAAGAATAATTCATGGCTTTTACTACAAAAACAGCTTTGAGCAATCATCTCTAAAAACGACTTGGTCACTGCTGTTCATAAACTGAAGGCAGCAACAAATCAAAAGTGTTATTGTGTTTTTATTTTCCTCTTTATGACTGTAGTTAAATAATCTCCTTTCTGTCTTGTACCAAAGCTGGGATATGTAAGGAATTACGCTGTGAGTATGACGTGTTTTACTCTCCTGCCTGTCTGTCCTTAAGTCAGTTCTTCATCTGAACATAATCACTTTTCAAGCACCACACTGGAGCAGGAACAGGACAGGGGTGCACTTTAACGATGTCTGTTCATTTCAGTTAGTGATATCCAAGTCCTTTTTCTTTTCTGACACTTTTTTCCTAAAGCATGAGAATCAAGCTGAGCCTTGCGTCTACTGTACTGTTACTCATACTCTGTGTTTTTCATTTTTTTTAAACCTGAACGTTTGAGCTCATTTACTTTTTTAGAGTTTAGTTTTAGTAGCTTTCATCTTACCTAATGTGGAAAATGATGACAGATGATGTGTCTCTCGTCCTGGATGTGACGAGAAGACTGTGACATGTTGAAACCTCTTGGGAGAATGAGTGACACTTGCAAGAGCTTCATATCAGATCAAAACAAAGCTTCTGAACAGGTTTTATTTTGATCTCTGAGCTCCAGAAGAGGTCAGAATAAAAGGGAATGATACAGATCTATGCCATTTGAAATATTAAAGTCGACAAGTCAGCTCCAAATCACTCAGAAATCAATCCATGAGGCTCCAAATGTGACATCAGAGCCGGTTTTCAATCTACTGTTTATCATCTTTAATGAAAGACTGTGATAATTATTTCACAGGTTTATGTATTCTTCTCACCCTTACATTAGTGATCATTATAAGAGTAGGCTTTTGGAGATTCTTTAAAGCACATTAATAGTTTGTTCCGTCCAAATATCTATTTTTAATCCTTATTAACTCTGCGTTATGTTCTGACTTCATGACTCACTTTTTCTGTGAAAAGTGGAGCTGTAATAAATATGGATGGCATTTAAGGTACGCGAAGGTGTGGAGAGGAAAAAATTGTGGAAAAGAAAAAATACAAAGGCTCTTTCCATTTCTCTACACTCTCCCCTTTAATACGTTTTAGACTTTTGTTCGACATTTCAAAGCCTGTTCTCTCACCCTGGTGACAGCTCTTCATGCAAGTTATGGCCGTTTGAAAGTCTGAATTTGAAAGTGACGGGCTGGATCTTATGAGACAAGGAGAAAATCATCTACTGTATTAGCGCTGACTCCCAGCGTGATACTTGAACTACAGTATAAACCAATACTTTCAAAGACCTCAGTGAAGCACGTTTAACTTCTTAATTACTGTTTAACTTATGAATGCAACACAGAAATGAACAATCAGTCTGCTACTTCAACCACACTCAGTTCCTTACCTTAAATTCTGAAACTTTTCCTGAAGTTTTCCACTGCATGTTTGAACCAACAAGGGCGAGTCCCGCTGGCTGTGTTGTTGTCAGAGCCGTGTTTACATCAGGTTTACATGGACAGGATAGCCAGCTCCTCCCCTTGCGTATAAAACCGTTTTAGTGAAGGACTAGAGAGAAGAAGAAGAACATACTCACTGATTATTTTGATGTCTCATAAGCGTTTTTAGATCACGCTAATTTTGTGTTAATTTATATCCAATGCGAAGCTACGAGCTAACTAAAGTGCTAACATTAGCATGCTATCACAGCAATGCAGGACACAGGCAGTTGTAGTTCAAGCAAAGGACATTTTTGTCCACCACGTGCACTAAACTCCTTCATGGGAACGCGAAGGTAGGAGGGTTCAGAATAGCAGAGGTGTCATCAAACAGGAGTTTGTCTTGGTTTCATGCTGGTGCTCATCAATACGTTGCACATTCTCCCTTCAACTGGAAACAACTGATTAGTGCACTGTAGCTTTGGATTTAAAAACACATTTAGTTATACTGGCGGGTAAAAAAAAATAAAGAATGGAGCCCTTTATTCTTGGATAGGCTTGATATATTTTGTAAGGAAAAATCCAAAAAGGGTGCTTAGTAAAACATCAACTAGCTAATGTCAAACAATACAAGACTTCAC